TTGCCTCTTCTTGATAGCGTTTTTTAAGTTTATTTAAAACATTAAGCTGATTTTGCTGTTCCCCCCGGTTGCTCGGTCAATATTGTTTAGCATTTTAGAAATCTGGCCTTTATGATAAAGTAAAAAGACGACATCCATAATAGTCTCTGTTTGCAGTTTACCACTAGCTATACAAGAGGATAAAGGAAAACATTGGAGAAGCTGCTCTGCTCACATCAGCCCCAATTCAAATTTCTAGCCTGCCTCTGAAAACACTGCCCACCAGTCTGAACACACAATCCAGTAGAGCAAAGCATTTTGTGAAGGTCTTTTTCCTGAATTCAGAAGCTGGTCAGAGATAAGAGAACTATGGAAGGAGGTGAATCATTAAATAGAAAACAATATTTCATGTGGGATGGGAAAGGTGCAAAATTTTAAACTTCAGGTTCAGAAATTCTTTACATGATGTTTTTTTTTTGCCATAGTTTGTAGTAAAATATAAAATACAAGAGAAAGCAGTGCTAATCTGAACCACTAATCACTTCTTAAATTGCTTCCAGGAAGCAAGATTTTGATAGATTCATTTAGGTGGCTCTAAATTAAGATGCTTTCTGAAGTTTCTTCTTCTGCCATTTTCCTTTGATGTTTAATCCTGTAGCTGTTCTCTGACCTTCAAAAGGACTAAAGAAGTGTAGTGTAAGACTATCTGATGACAAGAACATCCAAGGGATGGGAGGGAATAAAAACTTCCCTAACAGGAATATGATTTGCAAACCTCTGATGTGACAACAGAAATACAAGACTAAATCAGCATTCAGTCTAAATTAATGACATGAGCACATGAAAACTGGTTAGAACTCAAAGGATATGTTTTTTTTTTATGTTGTGTAATCTGCAGCATGGATGGCAGCAATTTGTCATCCTGAATGCTAACTGACAAACTTGATAAATGGAAATGAAACAGTTTTTCAGAAATTCAAATGGTGCCGTCATGCTTCATACAATATTAAAAAGTTAGCTTTAGGCTACTGATGCTTCACATAAATTTATAGTTGGAGGAAGAACTTACGTTCTGTGTCTCACTATGTGTGGCAGTACAGACACAGATCAGATGTTTCGCACTGTTGCTGGCACACCTTGTGACATATTGCTCACTGAGCCGTGCACCATGCATGGGAGGGCAGGATGAATCACCAGATTAGGATTGTCACTGCTATAGCTCGGTGCAGACTGATTGTAGCAAAGGGTTTGACTTTCTTTACTGACTACAGGTTGGATTTCAGATTTGTAAGCCAGTAGAGCATGGTGTGTCAGACATCAGTTCTGTTTGACACTAATTAGATTTTAATGTTATATGTTTTCTTTTGGAAACCTAATGAACATACTGCATTTCCTTCTCCTGACTGAAACCCGAAATAGTAACTTATAGATTTATTTGGTTAAAATGCAAAGTCAGATTTTCCCAGCCCAGCTTTTTTTTTTTAAATATCTCAAGCACTTAAATTCCTATTAAACTTTAGATGCCTTCAATGAGCAGCCCTCATCCTAACAAAAGCTTATTGATTAACTCAACCTCAGGTAGTATGAGAACCCTCCTTCATCTAGGAGTTTATGATTATTTGATTTTCTTTTTGATTAACTTTATTGCAAAAATTCTTGATCACCAATGTTAAAGATACTTTAAAGATAAATATACGATCAGATAAAATTTAAATGCATACTGTACATTTTAGCTCAGTCGTGTATAAATGCAAACGGTTTACAATAAACTATAATGCAAACTGGTAAAATGTGAAGGCTTGATGCCTATCATTATTATAGAAGGACTACAGTATGGAGCAATCACTTTTCCTAAAAAACATGACAACAGAGGAAGGCAAACTTGAATGCATTTGGCACAAACAGGAAAGATTTTACGATACTAAGATAGAAAGATATTATCACGACACTAGAAAAGCAGATGTGTCAGGCTGGAAAGGGATTTGAGGCGATTTCCAAACCATAAAGCCAATTAATTTAAGCAACTTTTCAGTGAATTTTCATTAAAAAAAAATCATAGATAAAAGAAGAAAATCTCAAATTGGAATTAGCTGAACCTTTCTTTGTGCACTAAAATAGCAGGGAATTTAGAGGGCTTTATGCACTTTTTTTTTGCTAACTTTGCTTTAATGGGATAGAGATTTTTTTTAAGAATAATTCTGTAATGTTGTTGGTTTTTTAAAGTACGCTGATACATCACCTGGCTGATAGTGGTTTTTCTTTTCCTGTATTGCATCAGCTCATCCATGCACAGGTTAGCTCATTCATTAGTGCATTCAGCAGCCAAGCCTTAGGATCATGTGAAACACATGCCCTGCTGCTCCATCCATTTACTAATCAATGTAAATAATTTGTTAATGAATAACATTTTTTTTTATTTAAAGTTATGTAACATTTGTTACCATTGTGTCACATTTTCTGATGAAAATGGAGGAAGAAAAAGCACTACAGCAGTAGCCATTCAAAATGTCCCAACTTTCCTTGATGAGCCCTTGGCTGGTCCTTGACTAGTCCCCTTCAATTCCTTTTTAAATATGTAAAATATTCAAGCTTTGGTACTACCGGCGCATGCTCATAATGAGTTGGACGGAGATGTTGCACAACGAGGAGGTTCTACAAAGAGTTTCTCCAAAAAGTTCCTGTACTTCAATCATGTCAGCCCGGCCTCATCTGGTCTGGACTGGAAAATGATGGTTGCTCAAGTGCATGCCAAACAAGGATGAGGCAGATGACGTATAATATGGATTGACGACATGGAAGTGATCACAGGGGAGAAGGGCGTGAAGAGGAACATGTTGAGGGCCGAGAACAAGCAAGAATGGCGCAATGTATTGGAGGCCTACGATCGAAACTGGTCAGGGTGAAGAGAAAGTAAAATATTCTTTCTGTCATGATTTTTGGACATTAAGATCTAAAGAGAAGTGTTATCTCCTGGTCAGACTAGGGTGGAGTTGGAGCAAAAATATTTGCACGCCCATGAGAAGCCCAGTGGCTGGAAGTTGGAGGGGATTTTGCTGCCGTTCGGCTGGCTTTTGACAGGGATGAGCCATTTTGAATGACTGGTACTGTACATGTTTCGACCAGCAGCACAGATCAGGGATTGGTTAGACTAATGTCAAAATAAATATTATCTGCCTTAAAGCCTTTAAAGTTGCATATAAAGCTTCAATTCACAATTTTTTATCTGTTGGGACTTAACAAAACACATAGATTAAATTATTTTAGAAATATAGATTATCTTTCCAATCATAAAGACTGATTCAATGCAGGTTTAGCCCAATCTGATCATAGTTAAAATGCACCACGGCTAGTTCACATTAATAAGGATGTGAGACAAATTAACATGTAACATGCTTTAATAAACAATGTACTAATCACTGGCTTTAATAACTACTAACTATAATCACATGGTTGATCTTTGTATTTACTCTTTGGATAACCAAGTCCCAGTTCCTGTATACTGCTTCCGGTTAGTTTAGGCTACAGAGAAACGTCACCCATCACCACTTCTCACGGTCTGTCACTGTGATCCAATTATAACGAGAAACATTTTGATTTGCCACATACTAACATAATCAGTTTGCTGGTTGAAATGTGAAGCTTTCTATCTCATTAGATTTCTCTCCTGTTGTGGTGTTAATACCCTCTGCATGTCACAGTCAGAGTGCAGCCAAACTGTGTTAATTAATGTTATTTCACTTCCTCAATGTGCCTGGATCACAGGACGTTTAATACCAGATAGAAAAAGTCAAGAGAGCACTTGAAGACATGTTGCTAAGCTCTGATATGTAAAAGAATAGCTATGTTTGTTCATTTGTTTTGATAAAAAGCAAGATGACTTGGTTTTTTTTGTCATTTTATTTTTTTTCAGAGTAAACAGTTTGTAGACTGATTTAAATTAACCTTTGATGTTGCTTTTATGCCCCCTGTGATAACTCAGCCTTAAATCTAACAAAATGCAGAAGATCATTGTCAGATCATTGAGTTTGTAAGAACCTTGTGACAATACACAAAATGACAGTTTAAGTTTTAATTTTTAATTAAGTTTTAATCCAAAAGTCAAGAATAGATCTAAGTTTTGCATACAAGTTTTGAGGATATTTTTGTTTTGTCCTCCCTTAATTACAATATTTTAGATCGCGATTAATTATGGCACAGATGGGAACTTTAAAGTCTCACTAATGAGTCAATTATTACAACATTTGAAAGCATGTCCTGTTCTATAAATCATCTGTGCACTTTATGAAATTATGTATGAAAAAGTCAATTTTTTCTGAAAACAGTAATTTGAAACATTTGGTGGGGGTTGCTAAAAGCTTGGATCTCTTGTTGGTCTTTGTCAAAGATGTTTGCACCAAAAATGGGTGATATAGAATGTTTAAAGCAACATCTACCGGCTGCCAATAGGGTTTGTTAAATGCAAAAGATAATGCACAGCACTTTGCTCTTTCAGATGTTTCACTTTGATCAAGTACTATCTTTGCTATTGAACTATTTCAGATAAAAGCAGCCTTACCTGGGGGTTGCCACTTGTAAAAAAAAAAAAAAAAAGTATAAGTGGAGCCTAACTTTTCCATTTGCCTCTACCCCAATTTATACCAAATAAAATTTATTTGCCAACTGTCTGTGATATGCTTATAATTTAGTTATTTTCCTGATTCAATTATAGATTCATGTGTCTTTGATCGGGGATAAAAGAGCCTGTTGACTTACAAAGTTATCAATTAAAAGTCAATTGAAGGTTTTTAATCAATTGTCAAATATCCAAAATAAAATGTTTTTTTGACTAAATAATTTCTTAATTCTTAGCCTATTCTTTTGAAACAGTTTAATCTTGAGATACAGTAATGTCTAGACCTTTCTTAAACAATGTTAGAATAATATATATACTGTATATCTCAATAAATATTCTTATCTTATGGTTTAAAAAAGAGGTATGATGCTCCTTTTCCTCACTGTAACTGATCCCATTTCATTCGCAGGTCCGTGGGGGAGATGCATGGGCAGTGACTGCGGTCCAGGAGGAAGCCAAAGCCGCGCTGTCTGGTGCGCCCACGTGGACGGCTGGACGACTCTTCACACCAACTGTGACCAGGGTCAGCGTCCCTCCAACCAGAGGAACTGTTTCCGTGTGTGTGACTGGCACAAGGACCTGTATGACTGGAAACTGGGTGCCTGGAATGAGTGCATGCCAGTTTCAGCAAGGACCTTTGGGGCTCCACGGCAGTTCACATGCAGTGGAGGAGAAGAGGGCATTCAGACCCGGGAGGTGGGCTGCATGCTCAAGTCAGATGGGTCTCCAGCAGAGGATGCCATCTGTGAATACTTTGAGCCCAAGCCACGCCTGGAGCAGGCTTGTTTGATCCCTTGCCCCCAGGATTGTGTTGTATCAGAGTATTCTCCATGGACCTCCTGCTCCAAAACATGTGGAACAGGCCTTAGGAACAGAATACGCAGCGTACTGGTTCCTCCACTTTTTGGAGGATCCGGTTGTCCTAATCTCACTGAATTTGAGTCTTGTAAACCAGGACCTTGCTTGGGTCCTGAGGGAGTGTACAGCCTTATGGTTGGACCATGGAGCGCTTGCACCTTACCACAAACTCGAACTACACGGCAAGCAAAGCGAAGGAAAGGGAAAGGCCAAGGACTGAGAGAGCAAGGAGGGGTGAAAGATCCTGAAACCAGAGAGCTGATTAAAAAGAAACGGACCAGGAACCGCCTTAACCGGCAAGAGAGTCCATTCTGGGACATTCAGGTTGGATACCAGACCCGGGAAGTGAACTGCATACACAGGAACGGGAGCAAAGTGGGACGCAAGTAGGTGACAGACTTTTTTCTTATTCATTCTGTGAAGCTGTTATTGTTTTTTTTGTTTTTTTAATCTCTGCAGTTTTAGAGCAAGTGTTTTATAATGCACGATAAATCTAGACATGAAGTAGATCCTTATTTTCAGTACTTTATACCTTCATCTGGATTCTAATCTTCTTTCCTGCCTGATGGTCATTTACCTCTTTAATACAGCTGTTACTCGTGACAGCCAAACATTTATCCTACAGAATTTGGTTGCTTCCTGTCAGGAGGTGACACATTCAGGGAGATGTTTGTCGGCTGGGTCCTTGTCAGCGCCACGCTGCCAAAGCAATGAGGAACAACTGTCATTAAAGTGTATTTGATGTAGAGTTCTGCAGAGGGAAGTGGCACAAAAAGGCTCCCTCTGTGACACAAGATCAATCTTAGCCATGACTTTGTTGCTTTTCACAAAAAATAGTTTTCCTTTTTTTTTTTCTCCTTGCATTTTGAATTGCTATTTCATTAAGAAATCAAGCATTACTCAATATGCCAGAACTTATTGCCAGGTCATAAAAGTTTAAAATGGAATCATAAATCTAAAATAAAACTCAGCGTAAGTTTTTTTTTTTTTTTTAAGGCTTGTAAAAGCCTTTGTACTTGCAGGATACTATTTTAAAACCTCTCAATTTTAGCACTTAACAACACAAGTTAATTTTCATGATCAGAATTGAGAAATGGGTACCAAAGCATAAAAGAAAAAAAGAAATCAGAAAATACAAGGCAGCAGAAAGCTAGCTGAAAGTTTCTGAAGAGTGATGATGTTCCCTGCTGGTTTTCTAATAAGGGATTTCTGTGCTTTTTAATAGAGTTACTCGGCTTAAACTCCAAAAGTCTGTCTACATTTTTTAATCCCTTATTTCCCCCCTAAGTCCGTCCAGAACATTTCTCCCATTGATATGTTTGGAATTTTAAATTAAAATCAAGCTGCATCTGGAGCTTAGAGGTCTCTCCTTCACCTTTCTGACATGCTAAGTGAAAACAAAGATAGACTTCCCCAGTTTATCTTTGGACAAATATAAGCAAAGAGATCTTTATTTTAAGTAAGAAAATTAATTATTATTTTATTAATTTATATATTTTTTCCATAGGGGCTCATTGGAGAAAGCCAGAGAACTCAGTCCATTGTCTTTTTAACTTTACTGTTGAAGTGTCTTTATTATGAAACCGTTTTTTGTTTTGTTTTTTTCTTTTGGCCAATGTGTCATGATGTTAGATCGTCATCTAAGTACATGCCTCTTTAAAAGCAGTAGTTTCAAAAAAACTTTTCTGCTTCTAAAAAAATTTCTGAAGGCTTACTGATATTTTTGCCTTTTAATTGTTAGTTTGTCTTCCTCTAGAACATGTTGGTATTTGGCGATTTAAGGAAAGGTCAGACTAAAATGATTTGAGGTAGGACAAAAAATGATTGATGCAACACATTAAGAGCAGTGAGACAAGTCAGTAATTTTACCCAAGAAAAGAAAGTAAAAAATTGTAGCTTTTCAAAATACTTAAAGTAGTGAACTATTATTCAAGAAACATGCTTTAAATCTGAGTTGCTTCATGTCGGATCTAACCTGTTTGACCTGTCATTATTCTTGCTGAGAGCTACAAAGGCACATTGTCTGACTGAAAATAAGAAAGATTAATGGCTGTCAGTTTCCATTCACTTGCTGCACACATTTTCTATTTGACAATGTATCTGAGAGCACAATGTCTGACAGGAAGGTCTGTCATATGAACTTTCCAGTAGTTTGAAATCAACATTTCTGAAGAAATCTTGTATTTGTATGTTTTTATCAAACCCCTCAGAGACAGTATGGCAGACAGGGATAGTATAAAGAACTTGCTCTGACATGACGTGAAGACAAGATATTTTACTTTTTATAAGTCTTTGGGAAATGAACCTCCTGGAAGTCTAGATTTGAAGGAAACTTCAATATTCCCATTTGTTTATATCCAATAATCCGCATGAAGTCTATTCCTTTATTTTCTGTATCAGCGTTTTTGTTTAACTGTTGCTAAATTGGCCTGATATAAGCAGTAGATAGAAGTATCCTTACAACTATGTGAGCTCGTAAGGTTTGTCACATACTAACCATTGTCTGGGTTAGGAATCCATAAAGTTCAGATTGTGCAAAAGAAACTAAATCAGTCTTGGTTGTCTTAAACTGCTCAAAAAATAACATTGGTAGAATTCTTTTTTAATGATATAACACCAAACTATAAAGGGTTTGATTGGTATCTTATGGCTTTGATAGAAACAATCAAGATTATACATGGAGCTAGAAGGAAAAGGATGAATGGTATTAACATTGTGTATGACTAGAAATATGCAAGGCAACAGAAGTTTATTTGTATAGCACAATTTAGTACATGGACAATTCAAAGAGCTTTACACGATTTGGACAATAAAATAAAACAAAAATAAAAGCAGAGTAAAAGCAAATTAAGATCAAAACCTGATAAAAGCAGGTAGTAAAACAAAGAAAACAGTTGGACCACAACCTTAAACTAATAATACCTCAGGCAACAGTTGAAGGCAGCTCTAAACAAATTGTTTTTTTTTTTACTTTGACTTAAAGAGCTCAGACTTTCTGCACTTATGCAATGTATACTGTGCTTTGATCTCATTCTACTTATTGACATTCAATGCAGTTATATTAAGATGTCTTAAGAAGTCCTATATTTAAATAATGTTGTGTGTGTTATAATGTCAGCATGCATGTGGTTGTCATGGAAGCAATGTACTGTAGGCAATATGGTAAACTTCAAAGGTTGAGTAGCTGGATGGAGCAAATAACTTCCTGGTATGAAAGCTATTTGGAGATAAAAATGGCCTCCCAAAAAAGAAACTAAATCAGACCTAAATCTATGCTAAAGATAGGTTAATGTCAGTGATCATAGTAAAAATATCTTTCTGTCTAAAGAAAAAGCATTTTTTAAAGCAAATTCTGTTTAATTGTTAACAATTCTTCCTCCATGTAAGCTTAAATCAGAGGCAACAGGGCTTTGGCTCCATTTTTCTGAAAGTTTTTGGTACCAGAGTAAACTGTATTTGCAGCACTGTTGTTTCTGAGCATCTGGAAGCCCAACCTCCAAAGAAAGATTCAATTTAATGACCCACCCATCGTTCTCCTGGCTTTATGGAGTCTGTTGTTATGTAAGGGTTTTCTGTTTAGCCATTTAAATCATGATGATCTGCTTGTGTATCAGAGACAAACGGACTTTAGTTCAGTTTTTCTGAAAAAGGTACAAAAGTACAACCAGTTGATAAACACTTCTGCATAGGTGTTTTCAGAAAAACTGAGCCAAAATCTCAGATTTAAGCCTGTTTGTTACCTGTCATGTTGTGGTAAGAAGAGAAATATTCAAATGGCATAATTGCAAAAACAAATGTGCCTGAACATAACTGGATCAGTTCTGAGTCATGCTGGTTACACTTCAAGGATTTGCCATGATTTTAGGGAGATGGGCCGGTTCTCTGTTTATTCTGGTTAGAACAGTAAACATGAAACAACCACATCCTGGACTGCACGCTCCAAGACCTGCACAGAGAAAGGTTATAAAACAAAATTAAAGTAAGCCACTGTTGCTTTATGTTCAGAAATTCACTTAAATTCATATTACAGATGGAGTATAGATATGTATTACAATCGCAGTGGTAAAATAGAATGCAACAAGTAAATCTGATTAATTTCGATGTCATTCTTAGAGTCGGTTACCTTTTGCATTTGCACCAATTAGGTACCTATGTGCGGTACGTGGGAATAGGCTTTTTGACTCAATGGTTCCTATTTTAATGTGTGTCTGTGCGATTATAAATGTAAATTTGCTTAATAACAGCTCAGTTTTTCCAGTTTAACATTTAAACAAATATTTTTAAAACCCAAAGTATTAAGACCACAATCGTTTTTTTTTTTCTTTTTAAATGTGTTCAATATGATGATGTATGTGCATAATAATGCACAAATAAAACCCAGCTCCACCTATTCCTATCTTTATTCTTTCCTCTTCAGAAAAATGGTGTGATGGGGGTCCATGGTGGTCGAATAAATGTAAAACTCATGAGCAAAAGAAGCTTAAGTAAAAAAGATAAATGTAAAAAATTTTATTGCAAATGAATGTGCAGCTTACTTCTTTGCTGCAAAGTGCATTTGTTTTTTTTTTTATCTTTTTTCCTATTAAAACAAAAATCTGTTTGTTTGTTGTTGGGTAAGACCAAAGTTCATTCCACACTGACTATAACCCCCTCTGTGGAGAAATCTTACACTGAAGGATTGGAAGCTGACATCATCTCAAACACTTGGTCTACTCAGTAGTTCCAACAAAGTTTGGTCATGACTTTAACAGTACTGAGTTATGTAATCATCCCTAATATGGATCAAGATTACAAATCGGGAGAGGCAAGGAGGTACAATTTACAAAAAAATACAGCCAAAGAGCAAATAAAGATGACTTTCCTGATCTGAAAGTCTCTCATTTACAAAAATCCTAATGGCTCTTCCATTCCAGTCCCCATGCTTCCAATGTCCTGCCCCTTTTAGACGTGTCTCTTCTTCCATACACCTCATTCAAACGGCTGAATTGCCTCCCCCATATCCTTTCAGAAGTCCTACTGGTAGTTTGACCTGGGTTTGTTAGCGCAGAGACACATCTAAAAGGTGCTGGACACAGGACCTTGAGTTCTTTAGTTGAAGACCATTGGTGTACACACCTGTCTTTGTAACAGAATATATTTTTCTGTTATTATGACAGAATATGAATGCAAACCGGTTACATGAACTGGGTTGTTAAAAATGAATACAGAAGCCAACGTTTCACACTCTGAAAACTGTCGAGCTGATGCATCTGCACAAATTACAATGCAATGACCACATTAGGGTTTAGCATGATATACAGTCGTTATTATTTTGAGAGCAGGCAGTTATGTCTTGAAGAGAATGCAAGATCGCAGTTCAAACCTCACACTGTCACTCTGGATCCCTTACAAACACCTTTGTCATGCCAGTACTCCCCAGATCCTACATGCTGCTCATCGCTCCATAAGAGATAGGTTCAACAAGGACCTTTTTCGTTGCACTGTATATTTGCAACACCTATAAAGATTTTTATTAAATGCTATAAACAAATTGCACACACTCTGTCTTTAAGCTTTATTTATGTTATTTTTTTTTTTTTCATTGTGTGACAGAAAAAAACACAACATTTAGAACTAGAGTGTCGCATCAGAATAACTTAAAGGTATAGGGGAGGATTTTCCCTAACTTCTGAGAAAAGACCTGCCCTCTGCTATTTAAAAAGAAATGCACATGCACAACCCTGTACCTACTCCCGAGAGGGAACGCCTATTAAACGTGTGTAAGAGCATGCACAAACCCATTTCTCCTTGTGCACACTCTGTTTACAAGTTGCTGTTTGCATTGCTCATTTAAGCTTACTTTCCAAAAGAAGATTTGGACAAGCTTCAATGATTGGCTTAAACCGTAGCTCACCACACATACGTATACACCCAAATGCAGCATGTGCAGAAAAAGACAAGGAACGAACACATAGGACGGCCTTACATAAACATATCACCAGAATGATTGATTGCAGAATGAATGATGGAATAATTAAAACTATACTTTATAATACTTTAAAGGTTATATAAAAAATACACTTAATCTGACTTGTTTTGATTTGGAGAATATTTGATATGAGACTATTTCCTAAGAAAAAAGTGACTGATCTTCAATTATATGTATAGCTGCTGAAACTAACACACGTAACAGCTTTTATTTAACTTAAGCTAATGAAAGATCAAGTTGCTATAGGTTATTCTTTTAATGAAGGTGATTAATCTTGGGAATAATGAGCATTAAGCACTGTAGCACAACTTCAGGGCAGCTCTGAATTCTTTTAATGCGATTTTCTATTTTAGTTGTTGCAGCATCTTTATTTAGACGCTAGTCATCTATTAAAGGTTATAACTGCTTCCTACAGGTTTCGATTTTGAAAGGTTTATCCAGGGTTTCCTGGTAGAAACAGCTGGAAGCCTAAAGTCACGCATTTTTTATGGTAAAGTTTTAATTCTTAAATATCTAGTCACTGATGCTTTGTTAGGGTTGGGCTTTTACCACTGGCTGGGATCAATAATTTTAAAGAAACCATGAATACCAACTTGCATACTCTTAGGAGCATTAATATTAATCCTTGACTTGTTTATTTCTTGTTCTAAAATATTCATAGTTGTTTTGCGGCTCATGGAAACTAGAGCAAACTTCCCAGAGAAGCAAAGATCCAGTCGTGTCCTAGCCAGACGTCCCCCAAACATCTTGCTGGCTTAATTTCTAATTTTGTTTGATGAACATCTGTCGCTGGGACACTTTCTTCTCTATGGTGCCTGACTTGTTCCACATAGGAAGCTTTCTTAAAACAAAGTTTTTAGCTTTCTCTGCTGGTTCATCAGTTTAATTTGCTGCTGGGTGGGGGAGGATTTTATAGGAAACAGTTGACTGTAGTACCATACAATTCGATTTGTTTCTTTCTGGGCTTTCAAGTTTGAAAACAAATATTTTCTTTAATCTTTGGACTCATGCAGAATTGTGTTTTTCACACTCTTTCAGCAGCACCACACAAGAGATAAAGTATGAAATCTGTGACCTGCTTTGTATTGCTAGATATGCAGCAAGCTTAAAACCTAAAGGCTTAAAAAGAAAATTTCCTCTAAACTAGGTTACATGTTAACTAGAAAAGGATGTCGTTATTCTGTTTGAATGACTTGGATAAAAAAATGATGACTTCTATCTACAGCTTTGAGGTCTACATAAAAATGCCTATACATCCACAAAACAAGCGTCTCAAAGGATTCAAAGATGGGAGAGAAAATGGGTCACTTGCTGCATTAGGTGCTTTTTGAAAGAGGTTCCATCTGAAATCGTAAACTGAGCCATCGCCCCTCGGTGCGCCACTTTGACTGTTGTTTAAATTTCTCATTGTTTTCCTCCAAACCAGAAATGAGCCAGCACACCATGTGCACTTGGCAGAAAAACAAACTTGGGATTATTCACAGTGTCGCTTTGGTAGTACTTCAAACCCTGCAGTGGTGTTTTAATCTGGAAAGACACAGGAGCCATGAGATAAAGAAAAAATACTCCTCATATGTTTCCTGATTTATACAAAATGTCTGAGATGCTGGAGGTGAAGTGCGGTGGTAGCGTCTAAATGAGAGGCTTCTAAATGAAGCAGAGCTGTAATTAGCACTAATAGCTCGTCAGCTGCATTGCCTCGAGGGAGAGGGCTTCTAGAACATGTCGCAGAAAACAGCCGGCTTTGGTTTGAACAAATTTCTAATGATTGGAAAGGGACCGAAGGAGGACGGGTTACTCATTACCACTAAATGTTGTTAGATGATCAAAAGATGTGGGGGGACAATGGATCACAGCCTGTTGTAGTGGTGTTAACACTTGACTTATTAGTGCACAGACTCCTGTTTCATTCTTGATGGGAATCTCATTATGCACCCTGTATGTTAATAAGAACAGCTAATGACTCTGTCAAAGGCAGGATAAAAATGTTAATGTTATATTTATTATATAGTTTTATGGTGTTTACTTGTTTCATCCTTTGCTGCATGTTTACACCTGTCAGCCATCATATTTAGTCCTTTTAAAAAAAAGTTTCTCCCTCCAACAACAACGCAACAATGTTCATATATGTTCTGGAGTCCAAGCAACGTCTATTTCCCTAATTTTACTTGTATACATACAAACCCACATTGCTGTTCCTCAAAAACCTTTTGTTTGGCTACGAAACAGACAAAGATGCTGATTCTGATCTCATTGAAATCATGCTGTTTCCTGTTACAGAAGATTAGCATAAACAATGAAAAACAATTTGGCTTACAATAACAAATTACCTTCATTTTTAGAAAGGAATTTGACGTGCTGGTGCTCTCAACACAATGCAGAAGACAGAATCTATCCTAAGTTGATTTTATAGGACGGAACATTTTAATTAACTAATTAATGGTTTTTTATTTATATAAAATTGTACCTACCCTGCTAATGCAGATATGTACATTTTTCTAGAAGTCAAAACATTTATCGGTCAATGATTTTAACACCATGATATAATGGTCTATAGTTTTAAGTTGTAAAGCATGGTGAGTAACACCACTAGCTTTCATTCTCTACAGGCCTTATGTCTGACTGTCCCAGTTGTTGTGTCCTTGGGCAAGACACTTCAACCACTTTGTCTGCTGTTGATGCTCAGATGGCCCAATGGCATCGGCTATGTGCCAGTCTGGCTTCTGTCAGTCTGCTCCAGGGCAGCTGTGGCTACTATGTAGCTTACCACCATCTGTGTATGAATGGGTGAAATGTGAAAATAACTGAATGTAATGTGAAGAATTTTGGAGTTATCTCACTTAATAAATCTCTTGTTAAATACAGAACAGTTATTAAAGATATATTTTTATAGAAGGGTTGCTATTTGGTCCACTAATTTCAATGATCTGTAGCTAAAAATAAACAGAATTGTAGTTTGATTGTGCCGTACGTGATTGACAGAAGTACTGAATCTGAACTTGGGGTCCTCGGGAATTCTGACTTTCTAATTTTGAATTCAGATTTTTGGGGATATCCAATCTTCCTATGTTAAAGAATTTCTAAGTCTGATGAAACTCTAGATTTACCATAATACACTCCTTTCTGCCCACTCTAAACATTTTTTATTCTGCCTAGATACCTTGAATTTCCTTAGATTTTGATAACACCACACTTAACCCTGCTTCTGTCTTTTTCATATTGACTCCCTCTCAGTTTGTGCATACCTCGGGAACTACCGCTCACCATCCAGTCCTGCGTTCTTCCTAAAGATTGCCAGTCAACCGAATGGACCAACTGGAGCTCCTGCTCCAAGACCTGTGTGGATCCTGAGACTCCAAGAGGAAATCGGACTCGAAGGCGACAAGTGCTTCAGTTCCCCGTTGGTGAGGGCATTGAGTGTCCATTACTGGAGGAGACGGAGCCTTGTGAACCCCAAGGTGGAAGCATCCCTCCCTGTGCCAGGTAATTTCTCTTAGACTATGTGTAGATGTTTGTTTCTTGGTCATCACTGCAGCATGTTGAGCTGACAAGATTTTTCCTACATATTTGTATACACATAAAGTGACTAACCATGTCTTTATCTGGCATTAGATTAGATTTTATGTTTCCTCTTTTAATCATTAAAATTGTTTATATTTTCTCAGTGTAAAGATATTGAACAAAAGTTTATTTTTGAAATGTTCCTATGTATCTACAAATATATAAGTTTACATGCTTCTCTTAGTATTTAAGGGTAAGAGACTTGCCGTTGTGGCTCGACCCCCTTATACCACCCTTATACAGAAGTTCTGAACAACAAAATCATCAATGAAATGAAAATCAGAGGGTTTGAGATGGCCTTGAAATTGTTATCATAACCCATTTTGTAACTGATTTTGCTAAATACTTAGTTGGGCATTTTTGTGAAATGGTGCCCTAGCTTTAACTTTCTGTCTGATTTCTTAAGATTTTGCTTCAGTATTTTGCTCACTGTTCTTTTCCCATATCCCATGTATTTTGTGAAAAGCAGCAGTCCATACTGCAGCCAAGACACCACGTTTAATGCTGCCAGCTTTTATCTTACTGTTGGGATTGTGTTATCAGGCTTACAATCTTCTTTTTCTATTTCCAAAATGTAACAAAGGTCATAGTGGACAGACACATTTTCGATTCGATCCATAGAACATGTCTAAAAATCAACAGCTTTATCCCTGAGTACATTTGGAAACTTTGTACTTGTGTTGTTTTTTTCCCCCTCATTGGGTTTTTTTTTCAGACTTAAATAATACAGACTTTTGCACTCTGGATAATAACACTCTTCACAAGGAATTTTGATTTTGTTCTGGGTCGGAAGTGTACGTATTTTGTATTACAATCCCATAATCTTTTGGACAACCATTATCTTGTGTTAAAATTATGATAGTTGTCCTTTAATTGGTGCATCATTTTTGCTTTAGGAATTTCCTTGATTCTTTGTGGTATAGATTTAACAATGTGTCAGAAACATTGTTAGTGAGTGGTGGCCATATGGGATTATAAAACAAGAAGCTGGAAGTTATTTAACTTGTAACTGTTCTCAAAATGTTTGCTTCTACAGTCATGTCTATTCTACCACTTGCTTATCTTCCTATAAACTGGTTACTTTTTAAAAAAAAAAGCATTTTTAACTTGAACATTTCTCATTTATACTGCAATATACCCTTTTTTTTCTCCATTGATGACCCCCTGGCATTTTCCCTTCTGACATGTTTTTGTTATCTCCTGTGCAGCTTCATTTTACAATTTTGGTCTTTTCATATTATTCCTTTTTGTCTTCAACACTTAAATTTTCTGTCAACTTGTTTTTTGCCACTCTCACACTCTCATTAGCACTCTGTGGGAAAAATAAATCTATTTTCTTTGTTGGAGGAACACTTATGATTAAAGTCTCAAATTACACCACACAAATAAGGTTCTCAATTATGTCAAGATCTGGTGACTTTGGAGACCACTGGAGAACAGTATGTCCATGTCGACTCAAGAAACCAATTTGAGATGACCCATTTGAGATGGCTTTGTGACATTGTTCCTCTGTGGTCATAAAAGCATGATTATGGTCAGCGGGAATATTTGAATAAGGTGCTGAATTGGTAAATAAGGATTAAAAAAGGGTAGCAATAAATAATATAAAGCAGGTTGGATTCATGCTTTCCTGCTTATATTCAATTTAATGTAACAATCCCAATGTTGCAGCTATTATTGAGATTAGTTTTCTAAATTAGATGGACAATACTGATATACCTGCTTGAATCAGAAGCCTAACAAACTATGACATTATCATCAAGATTTTTAAAAAGCAGGCTAATCTGAGTGAATGAACAGTTTCTATTTCTAAAAATCTTCATCAAATAAACATAATTGTTTTAGTTTTGGTTATACCAAATGGGGTAAAAAAGAAAATAAGGTTAATTTGCAATAATATTAGGCTTTAAACAATGGTACAGTGTGTCATATTTTTAAGGCTGTGTAAAAATTTGGTTTTAACTTAAAGCTTGCATTAATATAATGGCATGATTGTGTTTACATTAGCTGTAAAATACTTAATTCAGTATGTTATTCTTGTACAGGCACATTTTACAGGAATCACAATGTTTGCTCACGTGGTGCTCAACTCTTCTACCTTGAATAACTTTGAGCTGTGCAACCATCTGTCGCTTTACAAGCATAATCTTCACCCAACAATCTTTGTTTCATTCACCAGACGATAAAGTCTGAGACATTTGCAGGACAGCTTCTGCAGGACACACATCATTAAAAACACAATGGCGTGCTCATGAAACGTCATCAGTCGCAGCACTAGTACTGTTCCAATTCACAGGAACACAAGACCAAGAACTGACAAAGTCCCTGGATGTTGTTCTCGCCCCTCCCTCTTTAGCGAGTATGCATCAGAAAAGACTTGCCTATTCTCGGAATTGACAGCCAGCTGTCCCAGCATGCACTGCAGCAGCTTCCAATGGAGCGCTCACAGAGCTCGGAGTATTAAGTTAAAATTTCTCTTTTCTGTTACTGTTTTTCTATAAAAGTATGTTTTAAGATCATTTCAAGCGAGAAAATTCCACTTTTAAGCATCACTGTGAAGTCCACTCAGTGATTCAATGCGTAATTTAAAAAAAATTCCAATGCTGAGAGGGCCATGGTAACTAGCCGAGCTCCGAGGTTAACCGCAGCCAGGGCAAACTTTAGCCCGTCTGCAGCAGCCTCTCTCAACAAAGCAGTGTGCGATGCAGATTTATTTTATTTTTTTATTTTATTTTATTTGGCAAAATGTTAATTTGATTTGTGTTTATCTACCTGTATTAATCGTTGTTCCCCCAGTAAATGAAAAACGGTAAGAATTTTTTATTATCTACAAACTATTAATAACAGGAGGCGAAATTCAGCTCCAGACAAGCCGAGTCTGTCGTGACATCACGAGTACGCTTCTGTTCCAACTGACCAATATCTATGCTGCGTGCTTGCATTCTCCCCAAGTCCATACTTTCCTGCGTTCTTCTCAGGAACATACTTAACAAGAACATGTCTATACTCATGTTCATGTGAATCAAGAAACGGCCGATGTTTGGTCACATTATCTTGAGTGCATCATTCATAGCTACAACTTACTATGTTGAAGCTTAGCCGCCCACAGCTGCATAGCAAAGGCTCCCTATCTTTTCTGTATGTCATTATCATTGTGCTGCTGCTCCTTCCCTTCGGCTTATCGCCTGCACCTAGAATGTCAGTCAGTGGCGAACACTATAACTACTGTATGACCTTCAGCATATATTGGAATACAGTGTTCAAATGTCATATCATTATTAGATAACATTATAGTGATACTGAAACAACCTTCCAACCAAATAATGACTAAAATAAATCGTCACTGCCATAGAAACATCTTTGTGTTTTGTTATTTTTGTTTTATGTAATTTTGTAAAATGTATTTACATTCTTTTGCATCAGCAAGATTTACAATGTGCACTTTTGACAGTTACTCTCACAACAGGCTGTCTGACTCTTGTACTTCTTTCTCTACTGTTTTAATGTCAACATTGTAGTTACACATGGAGAACAACTGAGTGGAGTGACTGTCGGGTTGACTTACTGCTAAGCCAACAGGACCGACGGCGCAGCAACCTGACGGGGCTTTGTGGAGGAGGCCTGCAAACAAGGGAAGTTTATTGTGTCCAGGCCAATGCAGAGCTTCTAAAATACCTCAGCAACCTGAAAGAAAAAGACAAAGGTAAATCTGAGATCATTTCCAACTCTTCTATTGTATTTAAGTTTGGGAAAGGTTTATTTTTCAAAATCTTGGGACAAACATAAATAAGATTTTTTTTTTTTTGTTGTTTTATTTTTTTGTCTTGAAGGACAACTAACCCCATTTTTATTTTATTTATTTATTTTTTATATTAGTAAACTAATAAACTAAATACTTGGATGTGTTAAGATGCAGTCTACATCTTCAGGACGTTATTTTTACAACTTATTGCATATTGCAATTCTGCTTTTGTGATTAGATCATTGTGTTTGGGACCCTCCTTTCATTTAAACTGGTGTACTGTTTCTGCTTTTGTGTTGGCCTTCTTTTTATTGCAGGACTGTCTCTGTCCTGTGGAATGCAAAATGCAGCTCTGTATCATACATCCTTCCATAGAGAGTTGAGGGGAGTCTAAATGTCCTTTTTAAAGTTTACTTCAATCTACAAATACAATTCTAATGCCAGCTTACTAATCAGAAAATGTCCCCATTCTATGGTCGTATTCTTGATGAGTCAGCATCTCAAACCAATTAGGCTCAGAGCTACTTGCATGCTCCAAATGGCATTCTTCTCTTTCTACCCATTTCTTGTCCCTCAGGTAAAGACATTGGATAGAAATCGTTTCTCTCTAATGACTGCTCTGTTGTTCTGTCTTGTCATTATATGTTGTCAGTTGACATACGCCTGGCAAAAATTAACAGCTTTCTGATGAGCAAATGTTTTCTGACTAGCATACACTTTATCAGCATCGGCAATATAAGAATACAAATGCCTTCGTAAATGTGTGTTTACCTTTGGAATGATGGCAACTTATGATAGGCGTCATCTATCAAACAGGCTGCTTTTTAGATATTTATGGTGAGACGTCCTGTCTTAGCATACCTGCATAAATAAGCTAAAATTTAAAGAAATACGTTTTTTATGAATAATTGTAAAAAAAAAAATTATTTATTAATTATTTATTCTATAATGAATTTGTTACAAAATAAACTGATACGAACTCTAACTCTAATAAAATGGACAAACAAAATACAAGTTTTGTTGAAAAGATCAACTTTCTTTTCCTTGTAAGCTGAATATTTAATAAAAACATAACAAGATGAATGTTGACAATCCAGAGCTTCGCATGAAACCCTGAAGGCCCATATTGTGATATTGTGTCTTAGTTACTCCTCTGTGTGGACACAGTGAAGAAAATAAAAATGTTGTTTGAACAGCTTCAGGCATAAAGCCTAAAGGCATCATTTTGGCTGCAATTATGGGTGCAAGCAAGCCACCGGCAATCTTAACAGCAGCCTAATAAATCTGACAACCTGGTAATTAGTTAAATGCACCAACTGAACCCCTGTGAGGACTGTAAATATTTGGCTACAGCCTTCACTGTCCATTTATGAGGTCCAGATTACAGCCTCATTCAACACTGGATGGTCTTTGGTGGATAAAAAATGTTTGGTTTATGGCAAACCTCTGACTTTAGTAGTAAAGTAGTATCTGTCAGATAGGTTACAAATGACATATTCTTGTCATTTGTAACCTATCTTGTCTAAATGTATCTACCCATTAATCAATATGGCCATAAAGTCAGGGAGCAGTTTGATATTTGTTTCTTCAAAACAGAAACACTAATCTGAGTCTACAATAGTTTGAAGTCTAAATGGAAAACTGTTTAGGGCCCCAGTTATAACAGTACTGCTCCACATACTGTACTGTACCACCTCTGATGTCCCCTGCTGCTCTTACCTGACATGCCAGGTCAGTGCAAACTGATTCAGCTACACACCATCATTGCTCTGCTTCTGCATCAAACTACGTACATATGAATCAAATTAAACCTTCTGAGAATGTAATCTGTATTTTATCAATAATTTCTCATTCACTGTAGTTTTTTGTATTTAAAAGGGAAATAGTGTTGGCAAATTTAAATTTAGCAAGAAAATAAATTGGTGCATGTCAGTTTGATTTTTGTCCTCTTCCAGTTATTATTTTTTTCTGTTAAAAAAAAAACCCTCTCTGGGACTTCAAATACTTCTTGCTTCCTGCTTTAATTCCAAATATTGCTTCTTTTATCTATGTTTGTTGGGCTTGTAGGGTTTTTTTTTTTTAGCAATCTAGTGTGCAGACTTTCTTGACATCAAAACAGGGCTGTTAGATTTTGATACTTTTTACTGGATGATTGTCTGGCAGAAGGTTGTGGAATTAATCCTCGGCTCTCTAGCTCTGGATGCCGAACTCCATTGGATAAAAGATGTGAGGCCTTAACTGCTGTGTTAGTGTATGGACAGTAGGAAAGAAGGCTGTGGCCTGTAGGATTTGTGTGTGTAAATCTGTTCAGTACTATTTAAAAAATATATTTTTTCAGAAAGACCAAAAGAAAAAAAAACATAAATGTACTCCATTTATCTTTTTTTTTCTTTATGCGTTTCTGTCAGCTTATGTGGCGTCTGAATTATCAGCTGCTTTTGGTGTTTCAGCTTCTTTCTGAATGAAATATCTTATCTTTAATACTGGCTGCATTGCTGCACTTTAAATATTAAGGACATATTCTTATCCCATTTCACATTTTTTTGCAGAGGACTTTACTTCTTGTTTCAATAAAATTCAGGTTGTGTCAGTCTATACCAGCTGTGAATAAATGGCCTCAGATCTTTATTATTACCCTTGAACCACTGATGGCAAAAAGCTGTAAATTTTGGGTCTTGCCAGCAGCAGCAGTCCTTTTTAGAGCATGTTATAGAATATATAGCTCACCTATTTTAACATCTTATGCCCTCCAGTGTTCACAATCAATTACATTTTGAATAGGTCCCCTAAGGTACCAGCAAAAATCTGAACGAAAAAATAAGTAAGTCATTTGTAACTGATGTTTTATAATACTGCATTTTGCATCATATTCATTTTTGCACTGTACTGAAGGTATTCATATTAATGCCTTTTGCACCAATATTTATACTGGTTTATTTTTTTCCCTTACATTGTTTACATCTATTACTGCTGCACTTCATATTGGTAATGTTTATCTACTCCAGCTACTGTACAATATCATTACGCTGTTGTAAGCTCTGTACACTGCATACAAAATGTCAGTAAAGATTGTCTAAGATAATAAGCAAAAGTCCTATCATTAAAAAACTTTAAAGTTTTAGTAGACATTGTTGGAACTGTTTGACATCCCACAAATGTGCATCCTTTAAAAAACAAAACAAAATCTATACACTAGAAAATATATTTTCATAAACTAAATTTAAAACAGTTTTTTTTTTAAATATACCCACTAAAAACATAGTTTGAAATAAATAATGACAATAAAAAAATATTGATATGATGGGAAACTGAACTGATATTTCAAACCTGGATTCAAAAAAATTTGAAGTTATCTTTTTAATTATCTATAATATGTCTATAGCCAAAAGTGTTTGCAGTAGCAAAAATCTTGCATTTTGGTCTTTATCATTAGTTTTGAAATAATATTCAACATTATTTTAGTCTATGTGGTACAGTATACTGAACCACAATAAAACAGTCTTGTTTTTTGTTACCAAAGACAGATAACCAGTGTTTGCAGTGTTACATTTTTTTTTACTTTAACATCTTTGACAATTTGTTCTCTAATGTTAAGAATATTAATTATTTTTTAAACATAACAACCATGATGTTAAATGCACACCAGCTTAAATCTCTTTTATCTTGTCATACTATATTGCATCATATAAGAAATATACATCATTTTAATTTATAAGTGTGTCTAAAACAAATTAGAGACTTTCACTAAAAAGGACTGGCAGCAACTGATTGTATCTTAAAAGCCCTTTATATGGAAGCCTATGTTATCAATAAGTATTGTAATATCATTAAAGACTTCTTCCTAAATTTTAATATCCGATGGCAGTTTTTAACTTGCAACCTGAGTAGGTGAAGATATGCTTACATGCTGACATCCTGTTTGTGTCATGATGGGTTCACTGAAGGCGACCCAGTTATGCAGAACACCACTGACGGACACAAGGATGAAGAGTTCAACAGTTTATTAAAGCACAAACACACAGAATGTACTGATTCTGGTTCGGGGCCTGGATACTGGTTCACCGGAGTCTGCGTGAGGGACAGCACAGTTAGCGGTTTGCTGGCAGGGTATAACTTCCAGAAGTTCACTGATTGTACCTTGAGGGTTCTTGAGGCTAACTTTGGGAGAGTCTCTGTTGGTTCTGGAGAAGGGTTCATCAGCAGAGTCCGTTAGCTGCTTCAGCGTCTCACGTCTTGTTAGAACAGACCTTGGCTTGGAAGTCCCAGCTCAGTCCTGAGCTGCTTGAGGTTTCTCAGAGGGATCTTCAGGGTTTGGCTCAGAGGGTCGGCTCGGCAGGTTAGCTCTTCCAGAGCTTTCTCAGAGGAGGCACAGGTTTCCTGGAAGACAGAGATAATAGTTAGAATCCAGACTGGATTCAAAGTCATGGAGATACTCAGAGGATCTAGGCTTTAGCGCTGACCAACTGGAACAACACTGCGGCGTTGAGGCAAGGTCTGAAGACAGCTTAAGTAGTGGATCCTCTGATGATCTTGACGAGCTGCAGCTGTGCAGGGGGCTCCCTCAGAGGATCCACGGCGGACTCTGCTGGAGAAAGATGGGATTTCTCCAGCTCCCAACAGTTTGGAAGCTGAGTCATTTGCCACGAGGATATAGCTGGATTTGTATATCCGGCTGCAGCATGTCCATTTTTAGTAACTAGTGAAAAAGGTCTTAATTTCTGAAATTTGTCAAGCCAATTTAAAGACAAAGCTGCCCTCTTGACAGCATTTGAGAACATAACCTGAGGTTTAGCCAATGTGGCTGATCACTCTGAACACAAAAGGCAGCAATAGTCCACAGAGAGGTGAGACGTCCAGTTGCAACGTGCATGCAACAATGAGAAATTCTTAAAAAACAAACATTTTAGTTGACTGTATATAAAAATGTTAGAGTAACTTTTTTTTCAAGTTAAAGTATTATT